GTGCAGAAAGTCTGCTCTGACCATGAGTGGCAGCAACATGCCTAGGGCCAGTTCCTGGAGCACTGTGATCACTTCGGCGACATTATGGCCAGTATGGCTGCACACATGGCCCATGCAGCTCCTCTTGGCTCCCACCCTCCTGTTCCCCTCCCCATGCCTGTGCCCCCTCCTCCTGCCAACCCTGCCCCCTGCTCCTGCCCCCATCCTGGCCACCTCCCTGTACTCCCTGCACCCACCCAACCACAAGCCTGAGGAGGCCCCTGCACCCGAGGTGGCACAGGCAGCCTTCCCCTATGCCCCTCGCAATGATGAGCCTCCTCTTCCTCCCAGTTTAGAGCCCCCTCCCCCTGCCCACCTTTTGTTGATGTTAAATAAATACAGTTAATTTTTGATGGAAAACCAAAGAGGTTTGTTTATTGGGAAGTCAGGGAAGGGGGGAAGGGAGGGGTCATGGTGAAGAAGTGATGTGGGTGCAAGGCAGGTGCCCCTTGATAGGAGGTCCTGGGGACAGTGCTTGAAAGAAGCTCTCCCTCAGGGCCTCCCGGATGCACACCCCGGCCTCGTGGGGCTGCCGGATGGCAGCTGTCCAGAGCTGCTGAAATGCACAGCCTGGGAGGAAGGCCTCCCCCTTCCACAATGTTGTGGAGGACACAACATGCTGCAACCACTTTGGAGATGTTGTGTTCCCCCATGTTGAGGCGGGTCAGCAGGCAACAGAAGCATGCCTTGAGATGGGCGAAGGTGCACTCCACCTGGTTCCTGGCCCAGTTCAGGTGGGCATTAAATTGTCCCTTTCTGGGGTCCAGATGACTGGTGTACGGCTTTATGAGCCATGGTGTGAGGGGGTAGGTCGTGTCCCCCCATGATGCACAGAGGCATCTGCACATCCCCAATTGCAAATTTCCAGTGGGGGTAGAATGTGCCCACCTCCAGCTTGCAGTGCAGGCTGGAGTTTCTAAAGATGCAGGCGTCATGTGCCCTGCCCAACCACGCCACAAAAATATCCAGAAAGTGTCCACGATGGTCGACCAGGACCTGTAGCACCATCGAAAAGTAGCCCTTTCAATTGATGAAGCGGGTTGCTTGATAGTCAGGTGCTCATATCAGGATGTGTGTTCCATATTGTGAAAGCAGGCTATTTGCTGGCCAGGCCCTTCACGTGTATTGCCACCAAGCAAAAGGTCAACTTCCCCTTGATGAAAAACCCTTACACTATGTAACTTAAAGATCGGCGAAGAACAGGAACAAAAACCAGACCTGAAAAGTTCATGTAAAGTTTGTGCAGGTTGTGCTGACTGTTCCACGCTCGATAAGGCAGAAAAGGAAAAACAGGAAACCATCTCACTCCCTTACTCCTGTCACTTAACAGACAGGGTCTGCTAGCTATCAGAAAAAGTGCGCAAAAGCTTTCTCTATAAAACAGCTTCCCCTCCTGTGTCAAATTGAGGAATCCCGAATAAACATTGGAAGGCAGAATATGAGCCAGGTCCGAGGACTGATCACCCGAGGGCTACCTCCCGCACACTGAAACAAACGAGTTCCTGTAGAGCGTAACGTATACCAAATATGTTGTTATTGTTGTAGTTTGTGTGTTTGTTAAATGTAAGTATTGTCATCTGAAATTGTTTAGAGGTATTGTTAAGTAGTAGTGTTAAGAGTTTTAGATAAATGATTAGTCTTCTAAGTAAATCTGATGTAAATGTATCTGTTAATAATCCCTGGTCCCTTGTTAACAACTATTGGGATTTAGAAAAACCTCAGGGAATTTTCTTTACTGTATTGCATTTTGCTTATTAGTCATTCTAATAATTATTTGGTGCCTATGTATGTACAAAATTGATAAAATAGTAATTTGTACGTAAAAGTCCTTTAATAAAAGTTTAAAAGATATTTAGTAATAGTTTTCCTGTTTCTGCGCCTCCCTGGGACTAGCCACATTTCCAAACCTTTTACTTTATTCCACACATCTCTGGTGCCCCTGCTGTTGGGGAATCCCAGGGCAGCAAATCCAGCCACGGTCGTGTCCAGGTCTCCCAGACAGATGCACAGAAAACACATAGAGGATGAGAAGGAGGGGGAGCGTGAGCCCTTGTGAGGTGCCTGCCCCCTCCCATGTCCTTTCCCCCAAACACCCCAGGAGCCCTCCCATGAGGCTGCCTTCCCCAGCAGCAGGGCTGTGTGAGGGTGGGATGGGGCTTCCCCTCACTCCCACTACACCCCTCACAGCTAGGACTCTCCCCCCTCCCGTGGAGGCACATAGAGGATGAGAAGGAGGGGGAGCGTGAGCCCTTGTGAGGTGCCTGCCCCCTCCCATGTCCTTTCCCCCAAACACCCCAGGAGCCCTCCCATGAGGCTGCCTTCCCCAGCAGCAGGGCTGTGTGAGGGTGGGATGGGGCTTCCCCTCACTCCCACTACACCCCTCACAGCTAGGACTCTCCCCCCTCCCGTGGAGGGACTGCAACCCCAGAGGGACTTACCTGCATGAGGACGGCCCCGACAGTGGACTTCCCTATGCCAAACTGGTTGCCTATGGAGCAGTAACTGTCTGGTGTGGCGAGCTTCCAGAGGGCGATGGCGACCCTCTTCTCTAGAATGATGGGCTGCAGGTCGGTGACTTCTCTCCGGAGGGCAGGGACGAGCCAGGTACACAGTTCCAAGAATGTCTCCTTCCTCCTGTGGAAGTTTTGGAGCCACTGCTGCTCCAGGACCAGCTAGTCCCACCAGTTGGAACTGGTGTCCAGCCTCCAGAACTGCCTTCCACAATGGGCTGTAATTGCCAGAGTGTAGCAGTTGCACCCAGGGAGAGGGACTCCAGACTGTCATCAAGGTCAAGTTCCTGTGTGAGCAGCATGGCAGCATGCATCAATTGATGCACACACTGCAGCATGGCCAAGTGGAGCCAGGACATGCCCAGGGGCAGCCCGGCTCCATGGCACTAGTGAAAAAGCTGTGGCATCCAAAAGAAGCACAGGGAAACCACAGCATGCACTGCTAGTGTAGGGATAACATATTAATGAATTGAAAATGATTCCCCCAAATGGAAGTGACTTCCCATAATTTGTTCCCCACAACTTAAAGTGTTTAGATTTATTAGGATTCTTCTTATTATTATTATTTCCCCTTTAGAATATAATGTATTAGGTCATGTAACTTAGAACTGTTAAGAATATAATCCTATGTAGCCAGAAACAGCGCCCTCC